GTTGTAGAGACAAACTCTGCGTAAATTTTGATACCATTCTCATAACTGGTAATTCTCCTAAAGGTAATTAAGTCACAAAATCAAAATCATTACTCTATTGCAAATTCATAAATGACTTAGCCATAGTACAGGTTAGCCAGTTTTAAACCTAGTCAAAAAGTGACAAGTCCTAGCTTTTATGGTCATACCACAGGTGGAAATATAAAGCTGTAAACGCAAAAACAAATCACAAATAGTCAGAGTTTAAAACTAAGATACATTTAATTGGAAAAAACTGGCTTTCGTAAATCTAAGATATAGTTAGTTAGGAAATACTGACTTTTCTGAAACTAAGATACATTTAGTTGGGAAATAATGGATTTATTGAAACTGAGATATAGTTAGTTGGGAACAGTGACTTTTATGAAACCAAGAACAAGTTAAATGGGAAATGCTGGCTTTTTTCTCATACTGACTATAAAGCACGTTCACACTAACAATATGTTTGATACTTTTCTCTATGATATAAGTCCAGCTTATCTCTCTTTGGTTGACTCGTGTTCAGGGTTACTGATGAGGAGTGGAATTCTCCAAAACTAGAATAATCCAATAACACACGTTGATCACAGTGTACGTTGAACTGGATCTCCCTTCAACTTAGATTTCAAGATTAACCAATTTTTGGAATACTAAGTTTATTTATTATTGGTTAATAGGACAGTGCTAACTTTTCTGAAACTAGGATACAGTTAATTGGGAAATGCTGGATTTTCTGTTAACTATATCTTAGTTTAGAAAAGCTAGTGTTTCCAAAGAAACTAAGATATAGATAGTTAAATGGGAAATGCTGGCTTTTCTGAAACTAAGATATAGTTAATTGGGAAACATCCAATGTTTGTTCTCAGGATGTCTTATAAAACATTTACAATGCTAGTGTAAGTAATTTATTACAGTGATTGTTTTAGAAAAACTATACAATCATCTAAAATCATTATTTACCAAGATCACTTCGCTCTAATGATATCTACAGCTTTTTCGCTTTGTAAGGTTAAAAAATCGATAATTTTTTTAGAGAAACCATCGAGCTGTGAGTTCAACTGCTTCAGTGGAAATGAGCTTCGTGTAGACTGGATACGGTTGTCGGTATAATTAGGGTCATAATTAAAAATTGATCGGCAGAGCTCGCTATACCCCATGAGCTCCCACGAAATCTGTGTTGTATCCGTTTTCTTCTGAGTCATTGTTAGCAGCTCTTGCTGATCAGAGCCGTGGTGAACGTCATCGTGGGTGGGCCAATTGCGAATACAACTGACATCTTCCTGGACCACACCTGTAGTAACAAATAATCTGTGAAAACAACTGGTTAGCTTAATGGAAGTGGAATATGAAGACTATAACTCTTAAACAGTTAGTTAGCAGAAGACAGGAAGACATTAATTTGTATATGACGAATTACGGAAAACAAAAACGAACAATATTATAAGATGTAAATACAAAAATGTGAAGAGAAGATCTGTATTGTATGACATTGTTACATGGGAGAAGGTAGGAACTATAGAGTGTGCAATGTAATTACAAAAGAGAAGATAAGAACTATATTGTATTAGCGTTACTGCAAAAGAGAAGGTAGGAACTATATTTTACAACATTGTTACAAAATATCTAAAACTGCTGTATAGCGTACTTGCAAAAGAAAAGGTAGGAACTACTGTATGGAATAATTGCAAAAGAAAAGGTAGGAACTACTGTATGGAATAATTGCAAAAGAAAAGGTAGGAACTACTGTATGGAATAATTGCAAAATAAAAGGTAGGAACTACTGTATGGAATAATTGTAAAAAAAGAAGATAGGAACTATTTTGTTTGGCGTAGTTACAAAAAGAAGGTAGGAATTGTATGATGTAATAACAAAAGAGAAAGTAGGAACTATATTGTATGGTGTAGTAATAAAAGAGAAGGTAGAAACTATTGTATGGTGTAGTAATAAAAAGAAGCTAGGAACTATATTTTACAGTGTATTAATAAACGAGAAAGTAGGAATTATATTGTTTGGTGTGGTAATAAAAGATAAGGAAGGAACTATATTGTATGGTGTAGTCACAAAAGAGACAGTAGGAAGTGTGCTGTATGGTAAAAGTAAAAAAGAAAAGATATGAACTACGTAATACCACCTATTCAGCTAGAAAGAAAATTAGGAATATATTACACGGCATAGTAAGGGAAGTAAAAAAAGTAACAACGTCATGAAAGATACGAATCACATAAAAATTGGAATGATTTATGGAGACTGTATTGCATTACGTAAATCTGGAGAGAGAGTAGGATAGAGACGATGTTAAAACAGTTTATTAATAACGCAAGTCACGTAGAGACAGACATAGAATAATGCGAAAAATCTTCGGTGTAAATCAACAGAAAACAACAACAACAACAATAAAATACAACTCAACACAGTAAAAACGTCTAACAGCTACTGGTTACGAAAACAAATTAATCCGTGACCCATCTTGCTACCAACAGAGGGCACATGACTGGCTCACCTTTATACCTGGATTATCAACATATATTAATTCCAATTCTAAATGCAAACAAAGAGATGTAAACAAAACACCATTGTTCAGTGCAAGTTGACAAGACCTGTTATAGGTTACATTAGTAAGTAAACAGCTCTTTGTTTATATTTTCCAAGTCCTGTCAGACACATTAGATTTTACCACCTATATATGTGTTTATTTAATTATTATGATGACGGACTCAAAAGCAGTTGCTATAACTATATCTGGAGATAATTAAGTTTATATTTGTGTGTGATCATGACGTACTAGTGATGACGTTATGCGTGGAATACGACTCAGTAGCTCGTGTTATTCCATTTATTATTAGTATTAAGTTACATCTTTAATCTTGTTCTTCTAACCCAAGCTTGCTCTTTTAAAGTTTAGCTTTGACTTTTCTGTTAAGAAACTTTATTCCCCGTCACCGAACGTGCTCGCCCTTTCAGCCGTGGGGACGTTATAATGTGGCGGTCAAACCCACTATTCGTTGGTAAAAGAGTAGCCCCGAGAGTTGGCGGTGGGTGGTGTTGACTAGCTGCTTTCCCTCTAGTCTATCACTGCTAAGTTAAGGATGGCTAGTACAGATATCCCTCGTGTAGCTTTGCGCGAAATTCAAAACAAAACCAAAACCAAAGAGAAAACACGGTATTATAGGTTGAATCATACACTTTTGTTGGATTGGGTACATAATCAATATGTCTGGTTAGAAAACGTTCGGAATCACCCTTCTCTCCTCTACTATTTTATAAGGTATACAATTTACCCTTTTATGTACGAAGCGAAATGTAGATACTGTATGAGCTTACCACACTTCTCATCAAATATAACAAAAAGGAAAAAGAAACAGAAATAACGCATATTAGAGCTGTTTCTTAAACTAATTAACATCCTAGAACACTTATCAACAAGCACACTGCTGCAATGATAGGTTTAGGGAATAACTGAAAAGTTTTGGCGAGTAGTTTCGTTATTTTCAAAACAACCGTCAGTACAGTTGCTTGACGTGTTATTTCAGTATCGTCAAGGTTATTAGCTTGTCTGATTTCAAAACTAATCTTTGTAACAAAACTTTAACTGTGGTTAAAAGATACAAACAAAATAGGACATAAAATTTTAATATTTATAGATTTATGAGTTTTAACATCAAAAAAAGCGTAAAAGTTGAACTTTTTTTAACTTGTATGTCCCAATAAGAATGACGTAAGTCTGGCTATTTTATGTGTCCATCTTCTAAAGTCGCTGTAATACATCTAAAACAGACCTAAAGATTTTGTATATTGTTTTTGAAGCTTGAAATAAAAATAAAATATATCTTATGTTATATATATATATATATATGAAGGCTTGTTAGTGCCTTTTTGTTTTCTATTCTATTGTTATTTTCTTGTGAGACTCGCTCGTTTAGTAATACTGTGTCGAAACAATAACACTTTTATACTTTGCTTGCTTGTTAGGAGGAAAGGAATCATTTCTCCTGCTTGGCAGTTTTCATTATGACTTCAGGAAAATCAGATAACGAGCTCCAACGTGTAAATCACATGGTCTGACATAAATCCGATATTCTTTTCTTGGTTCTCGTACTATTCCGAGGTCCACGCTTATTTTCCGATCGCGACAGTATATTTTGTTTATCCCTCCTCCGGAAGTGGTCAACCGGAAGAAATAGGCTTGCTACACTAGAGCAAAGTGATAACTCTAGTCTGCATCCTGGCTAATCACTCCCAGTATTCAGGTGTAAACCCCATTCCTGTTGATTTATGTTCTAGAACTGATAAGAACGGTGTAGCGAAGATCATTAATCTTGAAAAAAAAAAGAGGAACCGGAATTCCGATCCCTGTCATACCTACGAATTGTATTATAGTATAGGTTTTTATCTGACTTTCTTGTCTCAAACTTTCAATGATCCCCAGTAACTGTGCGCTCATCACTAACCTGGAAGGTACCAGGGAAGTAAATTGTTTCTCTACAAGGGAAGAAGGAAATCAGTTTGACGGAAGTGCATCGTTTTACTAAACAGTTTTTTATGTCATTATGGTGAATAATTTAAGTAGTTTCAATTATTTAGACTTAGAGTGATAATATGGGGGATTATATTGAAATTGATGAAACTGAAAATATAACTGGTGATTTTGTTGGTTTGTCAATATATTATATGAATGCAAGAAGTCTGAGAAACAACATAAAATATTTTTTTTAGGAATATTAGTGTACAAAATTGGATTTTACTGTTTTGGAATTTGTAAGAACTTGGTTCACGGGTTATGATTTAATGTTTGATATTCAAATTTACTCTGTATAAAACATAAAGGGGAAATATTATTTTATGTGTGGCACAGTGTATTGATTTTGAATGGTGATATTGAATTTATAGCATTAATAATTAATAATTTTAATTTGGCTGTCACTATATACCACCTGAAAGTGATTTAAGAATATATATAGAAAGTTTAGAAAGTGTATTAGTTATGCCAAATAAGGAACAGACATCATTTATTACAATGGGAGATTTTAATATCAGTCTTTTAAATGACCAGAAAAAGTATGTAAGTGATCTGTATGGTTTAGTTTATTGCACTGAAGGTAAAATTATAACCAATTTTAATTTTCAAGTAAGAGTAACATAAAAAAGCAATACATTAATTGGTTATGCTAGCTCTAATTTTGAAATGGAAGATGTACGTAATTTATTACTGATTATTATCCTATTATTATTTAATTAATTCTAGGAATATCCTAGGTGGGAAACAAATAACGTATAGAAAAATCTATTACATAAATATAAAGAAATTATACAATAAGTTAAATATAATTAATTGGAATACTTTATATGGTACATATGATGTGAATGAAGCTTATGAATATTTTATAAAGGTTTCTTGAAGTTACTAAAATAGGTGTTTGTCTGTAGTAATAAGTAATGTTACATCCAAAAAATAAGTATTGGAATTAATAAAAGTAAACCTAGAATAAACAATTATATAAAAAAATAAAATATGAATAAAAATGAATTAGCTTCTGAGGCTAAGGTATCTAATAATAATGCTGGTAGAAATAAATTATCAGCTTATATTAGAAATATTGATAAACTTACTATGATGGTATCTTACGTTCACAGAGTGATGCAAAAGTTAGGTGAAGTTGAATTAATAATTATTATTAAATAAATCAGCAATAACACAATCTGGCGATATAATTATTGACAATATTACAATAATAGATTCACTAAGCAAAGCAAATGCATTTAATGTTTGTTTTAATGGAATAGGAAACAAATTAATTACGGAAATAATAAATATTAATTACGGAAATAATAAATATTAATTACGGAAATAATAAATATTAATTGCGGAAATAATAAATATTAATTACGGAAATAATAAATATTAATTGCGGAAATAATAGATATAGGTTTGATAATCCAAAAGATGATTTGACAAGTAAGTTTCTTTGTGAAACCAATAACCAAAAGCGAAATACTGATATTAAAAAAAAAATCAAAGTAGTTTGATTGGACAGTATCTCTTTAGTAGTTATAAAAAAACCATGGAGTCTATTACTGCTTCATTTTAATAAATAATATTAAAAAAATCAAAAATAATCCCAATGTTTAAGAAAGGAGATAAAAGACAAATTAATAATTACAGATTAAAACTATACTGAGAAAATTCTCACAAATATTAAAAAAGTCACTTTACACTAGACTTTGGGATTTAGTTAATAAATTTGATTTATTGTCTGAATATCAGTATAATTTTTTATAAGGGCAAATCTACACAGCAAGCTATTAAAGTTTTATGTGAAAGTACTACTGATAAAATAGAGAAAAGTGAATTTGTCATAGAAGTATTTTTGGACCTATTTGAAGTGTTTGATTTTGTAAGTCATAAGTTATTATTTAAAATATACACACTACAGAGATACGAGGTAAGATATATAATTGGTTGCTGAATTATTTTAAAAACATAGTGGTTAACATCAATAACAAATATTTTGATGAATTAATAATGGAAGAGACATTCCTCAGATGTTTATTCTGGGACCACTATTGTTTTTACTATATGTTAATGACATAGAAGATTTATCAGTTGATATAAACCAGGTTTTATTTACAGATGATACTACAGTTATACCTCATAGTAAGAATTTAGGGTCTTTAGTTGAAATAGTTAATTTATCATTAGATAGGCTAAATGATTGAGTTAGTGACAGTGATTTGTTTGTAAATCTTTAAAAGACTAAATTTATACTTTTTTTATAATGAAAATATAAATACTAATAGGAAAGAAGTAAATATATATATATATATGAATGTAGTTTTGCTTGGAAGATGTTCGTCAGCAGAGTTTTTGGGTATTATAATAGATGACAAATCAAATTAGTCTGAGCACATAAAACTACTAAAGAAATTATTGCAAAATATTTATAAGTATAATTATCAAAATAAAAAAGTTTAGCTGTTAGAAAATGTTTGACAGCTTTATATTATAGTTTTATTTACCCACATTTAATATATGCAAATACTTGTTGGGGAGGTACATCAAATATAAAATAAATTCTTTGTTGCTTCTTGAAAAAAGATTTATGAGAGTAATTTTGGATTTAATCTATCGGGATTCTGTGTATCATTTATTTCCTAAATTCAAAATATTATAATATTCATGAAATTATAATTTAGTAGTCAATTTTATGTTTATGATAGAAATAATTAACGTACTCACCTTTCCAATCTTTTTTTTTTTAATATTATGGACATCCACTGTCATGATACAAGAATTAATGCTGATTTACACATATCATGCTTTAAAAAATTAATAGATCAATGTTCGCTAACTTATGTAGGAGTAAAGATTTGGAATGCAATATCCAATAATATAAGTTAACCCTAAAAAACTTTATAAGGTTTGTTTTAAAAGCTATATATTAAATTTGTGGTTTACTTAGATATTTTTATTGTTAAATAGAAAAAATATTATCAAACTATTGTCAGTTAATGGTATCAAATATGGTAAGCACAAACTTTTTTATGTATTTAAATGTGCGTTTATTTTCCTTTTTTGATTATTAATACTCCTTTCCTATTAGAGGGGATGCACTTTGTTTAAGCATTATTTTTTGGCTCTTCATTTCGTATACGAGCCTAATTATAGTTCAAATTATTACAAATTTACAACATATTGTATTATCTAGTATGTGAATAAAATTGAGTTGAATCATCATAGTAACTACCTTTAATGAGTCTACAGTCCGCTTGGTGGCAGTATGTAAATAATCAGTAATGGAATATAAAGCAGGGAATGATGTATTGTATCAATGTTTCATTGTTTATGTTCACCCTGTCTTAGCTTTTTTGTCCCCCATACCTCTAGTTGTTAATAAACGTTATTTCTATTAGCAGACTGGGAAACGCTCTAAATGTTTCTCGTGAAAACTGTACATCGACTTTTCTGTGGAAGACTAATGGTCACATGATCGTAATTCCAAGTTCATAATAAATGCAATCTGCGAATTGTATCTAGAAGGAGACCTCTAACGACGAAGGGAATTCTGGTCCAGTTTCATTCCACGCATAATTCACACACGTTTGTGTTGCGTGACTCTTCTTCGTTATCATGTCTCTAGATTAGGGATTATCAATTTGTTGAAGCTATTTGAACCCTTGAATGAAGTTTGATGAGACGAATCTTCCAGTACCTCACCCACAAGAAGATGTTCTCGTTTCCCAAACGAGTTACTATAGAATACTGTCGAAATTAGGTTTAAGTTTTATTTATCTCTAGGTGTCGCTTATTTCACAGCTGTTCGCTTCTACTTTATGAAACAAAAATGTATGTAGGTTGTGAGCTACTTCTAGAGGTCGCTTATTCCAAACCCATAAGTTTGTACTTTGCAGAAAGAGTGCTGCCTCTGGCATGTACTCACTCTAAGAAAAATGTATGGAATGACGAAAGAACAAACCAAATAATGTAGAGTGAACAAATATAAGTGTTAGCATAAAATCATTTTAGAAAGTACATACAGTATTATATAAAACATTAATTATAACTTTCTTCGAGAATTTCCATTGTTATGTTTTTTATACTGTTCATTCTTTGTGTTTTGAAATGTTGTTTAATATGATATTTTGTGTCTTATGTGTAAAGTCGAATAGGAATTGTTGTTGTTTCATATATTGTTGTGTCTTATGGGCAAATTTCAAAAATTCTTTATACGTATCTGTGGTACCAAGTCAACATAGAATACTGTTTTCCATTCCACCTGATCCCTTATATAGATTCAACCATCTATAATATTTCATTGATCTTGCTTTGATCTGGCTGTCTGGTTGATAGGAATTATTGTTTTTCATATGATATTGTTGTGTCTTAAGGGTAAAGCCGAATAGGAATTGTTGTTCTTTCATATGATATTGTTGTGTCTTATGAGCAAAGCCGAATAGGAATTGGTGTTCTTTCATATGATATTGTTGTGTCCTATAGGCATAGCCGAATAGGAATTGGTGTTCTTTCATATGATATTGTTGTGTTCTATAGGCATAGCCGAATAGGAATTGTTCTTCTTTCATATGATATTGTTGTGTCTTATGGACAAAGCCAAATAGGAATTGTTGTTTCACATGATATTGTTGTGTCTTATGGACAAGCCGAATAGGAA